ATATGAGCGTAACCTGAGGAATGTGGTGGAAGATGAGGCCCATGCCTGCACCATCCTGATCAAATGAGGAAGGCCAGTGCCCTCCAGCCACACCTGCTCGGTAGAGCTGGGGCCAGGACCCTGGTGGTGACAGCACCACACAGGCTAACTGTGGGCTGCACCAGACCTGCTGTCTCTGCCCAGGCAGTCCAAGCCCTCCTGGCCCCTCTGACCCCACCACTTCCCACCCTTGCAGAGAATATTTTTCTAACGCCTGGGCTGGGCTGGACAGTTGTTTCTAAAACTATCTTGGTACTTGCTCCTGGGTCAGCCCCTGAGCCTGTGTGAGTGTGTGTGAGACTGGGAACTCTGCTGGGCACCCCAGCACGGCCCAGCCAGGGCAGAGTGTGTGTGTGTGTGTGTGTGTGTGTGTGTGTGTGTGTGTGTGTTTGGCATCAGGATGGTTTCCCTGTAGATTGTACCTTGGGGTTTTTTTTCCCTGCCATTTTGTTAAAATTAGCGACATTTTAATATTAAAAATACTGATTTTTAATATTGAAAATAGAAGCAATTAATATCTCTTTTTTTAAAAAAGTACTTATACTTTCCTAGACATGAAGGAGGAAATGGGTCTATGGTCTATAAAGGTGTTGGAAAAGAATGTTATAGTAAAATTGCTGCTCATCTTCATTAAGTGATACTAGATTAATAAAATTGTTTCTTTACAGTATCTTTTGTTGTTGTTTTAAAAGCCTTTATTCATTTTTGATCAAGGAAAAGGACAATTTTAATGTCAACTTGTCACCTAATCATACATTTGAACTTAACAGGATTTATTACCCTAGACACCGCACCTACTGACTTCACAAAATAAAATGATCTCTCTTCCATTCTCCAAGGTTTGCATACTGGAAGAATAAACAATCCCTTGCAAAAGCCAACATGGGTACTTGGCTTAGGTGTACATCACATAGCAAAATAGGAGCCAAACGAGGCCAAGAACATTGTTATAGTACACACGTACTATATCACAAACTCTCTTAAAAAAAAAAAAAAAAAAAAAAAAAAAGAAAGAAAAAAAAGCAAGCAGGTTCATTAGCATTAAACAACTTACAGCCTTAAAGCCTATGCTAATCCCAACAGCTAACTTGGACCAACAGAAACCAACTTCCCTGAATCCAACTACACTTAATAAAAAACTCAAAGTTGGAGGAAGTCCTCTAAAACAGACATAAATTGACCTTTCAATGCACCAGATGTGCTAAAGTGACATGACTTAGTCACACTTAAATCAACATTTATACACATAAGACTCAAGAATATCTTGTCCACTATTCCTTCCTATGTCTGAACAGGGAAATGCTTAACTACTCAGCTCATGCACTAACTGCATTAAAAATGAGATCAGTTGTGAATTTTTCTACTTCACACCACAAAATTCTACGGCCTATCGTCCATATATAAAACACTTTGTGTTCAGTCTGATGGCTATGACATTATCAAAAGAATGCAACTAAATTATTGTCACTAGCTTGTTTTAATCTAGTACTTGTCTGCGAAAATCCTTGCAACTATTTTCAATGCTCTTAAACCATTAGCTCCTACCACACAGCTTTACAGTACTCTTTTATCTGTAGATTCTTACCAAGACAATTAAAGTCATGCTATTAGAGAAAGCTTTTTCTAGCAGACCAGACTTACTCTGAAAACAATGAGCATATCATAAATGGCTTACCAGAAATAGTAAGAAAGCAAAATATGCTACACCATGGTAGTGTTAAAAAGCCATTTTTCTTAAAAAATGTAACCCAGAAAATTACATGGTCTACTAGCAAGATTCTACCTATCACAATATTATGATCTAGTTTCATGACAAAGCTTCTAGATATCCAGAAGGGAAAGAACATCAAAATGTGGTGGTAGCCTCAGTTAGCAGGGAGACAAGGCCTTAACACATAGAATACATCTACAGAAATGGGTAATAGGGGAAACACCATGGCTGGCTATAAAGGAGTGCAGTTTCTCCCTGTGGACCAATACTCCCTACAAAATAAACTGTGCCTCTGATTTCCATCCTTTATTCCACACCATTTTCTCCTCTTACCAAGATGTACTCAATTAAAATTTGTTAAGTTTTCATTTTTTGAAGTATGTACATGTATATACCTGTATACATACAAATTTATATGTCACTGTGTATGAATATTTGTGTGTATATGTACTGACATGTTAGAGCTACTAATATAATTTTTTGAGGTTTCTGCCAGCACATTCTATAATTAGTCTTGATAACTATTAGGTTGTTGGGAGAGTTATGACTATTTTTCCATGCAAAAATGCATTATGACTTTCTCGACGACCCAATATAAATGAAAGAGGTAGGAGAACTTGGTTGGTTCAAAGCTACCTGGAGAACTTTCCTGCACACAGGTTAGGGGAGAGTTGGCTATTCTTTTTCCTTTTCTAACTTGCCAGAGGGTATATGTACTTGCCATATAGAGACAGACAAGGAGAGAGGGAGAGGGAGGAAGCACCTCTCCCATAGCGTGTGACCACTACACAATACCTTCCCCTCCATTTCTCCATCACATTGTGGTTTGGGGCACACATGCACATGTACCAAGCATGGTTTTCAAGCCTCCTTAGCTGGGATTTGAACCATGTTATTGGCCATAGGAGATCTGGCTTCCTTAACCACCAGGCCATGGGGCCAGCCTTAAAGTTGACTATTTTAAAAAACCAGGCATCCACTCAAACAATT